ATATGACCATCCTCATGTACGACAGGGGTAACAGACAATGCTGGCTGTCCAAGCTACATTTTCGCGGCAGTGCCTAATTAGGAAGAGATACAGGTAGAGCGCCTGGCATTAAACCCGCCCTCAGAGACAGCAGCAGGGAAAGTGCTGCCGTGTGTTCACACTCTCAGCTCCTACCGCAGTGCCATGGCCACATTTGCAGCGGCTTTTGGAGCGGTGCATTATGGGCAGCTATCCCATAGAGCACCTCTTCCCATTCTGACGCTGAGACTTGTGGGAAGTGGGAGGGGGTGCACGGGCCATCATAGGTCCTGTCCCAATGCCCCGTCGTGCATCGCTTCACATGCCAGCGCTCCCTGTGCTTCCTTCCACATTTGGCACCATCTTTCAATGGGTTGCGTCCTGCGTGCTCTGTCTTCCCTTTCGGTCTGCGGGAATGGATGCCCAACTGGTGAGGACTATGCTGATGGGTCTCACCAGCACATCACGAATGGCAGTCGAGTTACTCCTTAAGCTACAAAGTGACAGTCAGGAGTCCGACGATGATGTCGACTTGCATAATGCATATGGCACGAGATTGCTTGCATCATTCACAGACATGCTGACCACCGTGAAATGCCACTTTTGGGCTCGGGAAACAATCACTGAGTGGTGGGATCACATCATCATGCAAGTCTGGGATGATGAGCAGTGGCTGCAGAACTTTCATAGAATCATAGAATCTCAGGGTTGGAAGGGACCTCAGGAGGTCATCTAGTCCAGCCCCCTGCCCAGAGCAGGACCAATCCCCAATTAAATCATCCCAGCCAGGGCTCTGTCAAGCCTGACCTTAAAAACTTCTAAGGAAGGAGATTCCACCTCCTCCCTAGGTAACGCATTCCAGTGTTTCACCACCCTCCTAGTGAACAAGTTTTTCCTAATATCCAACCTAAACCTCCCCCACTGCAACTTGAGACCATTATTCCTTGTCCTTCTTGTAGTGTGGGGCCCAAAGGAAAGCTACTTTTCTGATGAGGAAAGCTACTTTTATGGGACTGTGTGCTGAGCTCGCCCCCAACCTGCGGTGCTAGGACACGAGATTGAGAGCTGCCCTGCCAGTGGAGAAGTGGTTGGCGATTGCAGTCTGGAAGCTGGCTACTTCAGACAGCTACCGATTAGTCACTAACCAGTTTGGAGTGGGCAAGTCAATCATTGGACTCATGTTGATGGAAGTGTGCAGGGCCATTAATCACATCCTGCTCAGAAGAACTGTGACTCTGGGCAACATGCGTGATGTGAATGGCTTTGCACAGGTGGGCTGCCCTAACTGTGGAGGGGCGATAAATGGGACGCATATTCCAATTCTGGCACCAGACCATCTAGCCTCCCAGTACATTAATCGCAAGGGGTATTGCTCAATGGTTTCAGGCGCTTGTGGATCACTGTGGGTGTTTCACAGACATTAATGCAGGCAGGTCCAGAAAGGTGCATGACGCATGCATCTTTCGGAACACTGGCCTGTTCAAAAAGCTGCAAGCTGGGACTTTCTTCCTGGACCAGAAGATCACTGAAGGGGAAGTCAAAATGCCCATTGTGATCCTCGGAGACACTGCTTACCTTTGTTACGAATTACACCTGAGAGGACACGCACACAACTGCTGCGAATCATACCCGGTAGGACACGCACACCAATGCTGCGAATTATACTTGATAGGACACGCACAGTTCGAATCTAGGCTGAGGCACATAAACAAAGTCCACAACTGCAGAGTTCCCAAAAGACACTAAGTTTATTACGCTCGAGCGTGGTGCCCCCCTGCTAGCCGAGGGGGGACCCTGAATACAGATTATACAAAGGTTATATACTTTTTAGCAAAGCATGTTGCCCTCGTGCATCGGAAACCTTAGCCAATAAACAAACCCTTGTCTTATCTACCACCTATCCCTGCTTGGTGCATTCCTCGTGCTATACCAGTATGTTAATTACACAGCATGGTCCTAAAGCCATGCATCAGTAACCTTTATTATCAGGATGGGAGGCCTCACACCAAAGGCCAAGAGATAGGGAGTTAGAGACTGACAAAAATCAGATATTGGGAGTCAAGGCAGGCTGGAGACAAGGAGGAGGATTTTCACAGGGATTCAGTATCTAAGGATCACTCCTCCTGGTGTATGATGTGCTGGCATTTAAACAATGGTGGGCCCCAAACCAAAATGGAGTCACATGTGTTAACTTTTCCTTAACACCTTTTAATGCCATGGCTCATGAAACCCTACACAGGGAGCCTTGACAGCAACAAGGAGCGGTTCAACAACAGGTTGAGCCAGTGCAGAATGACTGTGGAGCGTGCTTTTGGCTGTTTAAAGGCCCGCTGGCGCGGTCTGTATGGGAAGCTGGACCTGGCCGATGACAACATCGCTACAGTTATAGCCGCGTGCTGAACATAACATGGAGGGTACAAGCTCCACTCTGGCATGGACCACTGAGGTTCAGCGCTGGGAAGCTGAATTTGAACAGCCAGAGACCAGGGCTATTAGAGGGGCACAGCACGGGGCTGCAAGGATTAGGGATGCCTTGAGGCAGCAATTCGATGCTGAAAGACAGTAATGTCTGGTGCTCTGCACGGGGGTGCAGTGGTTCCAGTGCTAGTAGGCATCTGTGTTTGCTACGTATGATGCACTGACTTGCAGTGCCTGTTGCTTTTCTGGGCGATGCATGCTTTTAATTAATGCAACAGAGAATGTTTCCAAAACCAAAAAAAAATCATTTATTGAAAAGAAACACAACTGCTGGAGAAACACACATGGCATGGTACATCTGTACTGTGTGGGAGGAGGGAAGGGCGTGGGGTGGGGAACGGAACAATCTCAGATTTGCATATGTTCTGGTATCATATTCAGCCTTCCTGTCTGTGTGGTGCACTTCAGGATGGCTAAACTGCATGGGATGGGGGTTGAGTGCAGTGGGTAAGGGTTGGAATTTGCAGGGGTGGACGGTGAAGGTAAAGGTGATGGAGGCAGCTGGTGGAGATAAGAAACCAGATGTTGGGGAAAGTGGGTTGGAGGTGACATGGGGGCGCAAGGGAAAGAATTTTGGGACAATGGCTGCAGGGGTGGGGGTGGGCACAGATCTGCTCCCTATGCAGTGCTATGAGCACCTGCATCGAGTCCGGTTGGTGCTCCATGATGCTTAGGAGCCGCTCCGTGCTTTGTTCCTGGTGATCCGCAGTTTCCTGGTGGACCCTCCTTTCGCTTTCCCGTCACACCTGTACTTTTTCATTCTCAGTAAGGGACTGTGGCATGACTTCATGCAGAAGGTCCTTGCTTCTTCGCAGCTGCTTCCTGAGGCTGTGCAGCCGTTCGGCCGTTAATAACAGGAACAGTTGGGATCTCAAGGTTGCATCTGTGAAGCCAAAATGCAACATTTTACAGAGGCAGCATTGTTACCACTAGACAGAGCAATGATTCAGCAGAACTTAAAGACAAGCACAGTTCATACAATAGCACAAACTGCCTGTCCCAGGACAAGTGCACATAACCCATAAGAGCCCCGAAATGGTGAGTAACCACACGGACGGACGGGGGGGGGACGGGACGGGACTGATTGTTCCAGGGCCGTAATGTTCTCTGGGGTCCTGTGTCTTGGGGAGAGCCAACAGCTGCAGGGAGCCCCTATACTCAACACTGTCCCCACATTTTCCACAGGCTGGGTTCATCCTGGAAGATATCTCACTGCTGAGGGTGACCTGGGAAGCAAGGGAGGATCTTCTGCAACAATGCGGCTTCCGCCCTGGCCCTTATGTGGCTCTGCCTCCCCCCGCACACACCCAGCAATCAGATCACAGTTTGTATAGTTTTTTTCTCTGCAACCAAGAAAACTGAAAACTTCCTTTGTTTAGGAAACAAAAGCCAAGAGTCTCACCTCATCACATGCTTCCAGGAGCTGGGGCTTTAACAAACACACCAAATATCATAGAATATCAGGGTTGGAAGGGATCTATGATCATCTAGTCCAACCCCCTGCTCAAAGCAGGACCAATCCCCAATTTCTGCCCCAGATCCCTAAATGGCTCCCTCAAGGATTGAGCTCCCAACCTGGGGTTTAGTAGGCTAATGCTCAAACCACTGAGCTGTCCCTCCCCCCTTGTGAGTGTTGGTGACACTGTGGCTCCTTTACATTGAGCCAGACCAGCCTCAGTATACATGAGAATCAGGCTTTGAAATGTTGATACCAGTGTAACCAAGGTTTTGGCCTGTGAATTTCATATCGCTAGACTTAGAAGGATTAGACTTTATCGGTCGATGTCTGCAAATGTCGATTTACACACACAGACCATGACAAAATACTTCCAGTGATAATAATTAAAATTTACCAATAGGCACAGTAAGAACAATGCTGCATGAGACCTTATTAGACATTGATTAAAGAATATTTACTTTGCATATCTTGACATGTGATGTTGACAATCTCTATTTTAATGATTATGAAGCTTTAACTTTTTGAATCTGTCTCTACTGTCCTTAAATATTTAAAATACTGTCTGATCCCACCCTAAATTTCCCACCAGTGAAAATTTAAATTGATAAAAATTGGAATAAAATGCTTAAAACCCACATTTTTGTGCACTTGTGAAAGTTTAAACCGATAAGCATAAAAATTGCTTAGAAATAAACATCTGTCAAAATTTTATATTAAAAAACGAATTCTACCAAGCCTGACTATTACTCCTTAGACACACAGACCCACCCTGCTCCTGCAAGCTCATCAGGACAGGGGGATGCTGATGTCCACGTGGAGCCCCGGTGACCCTCCACACCAGCACAGGGGGCTGACTGCAGGACCAGAACACTAGTGGTCTATTTTTCACGAAACCCTCACAGCTGAATTGTTACCAGTGGGCTCCTTCCAATTCAGCGAACAGTGTGCATCAGTTCCAGGAAGGGAAACACCCAATTGTTGCTGCAGGCGGGGCAGAGTGTGAACTCAGGAGGAAATTGAAACTTCTTAGTTCTTACCCGGTTACACTGCCGAGAGGGAGCCATGGCTGCAGAGAACCCCGTGGAAAGTCTGCAGGAGGAAGCGACATGTCCCATCTGTCTGGAGTATTTTAAGGACCCAGTGATTACGAACTGTGGGCACAATTTCTGCCTAGCCTGCATCAGCCAGTGCTGGGAGGGACCCGACACAGCCACCGCCTGCCCTCAGTGCAGAGAAACTGTGCAACAGAGAAACCTCAGGCCCAACAGGCAGCTGGCAAACATGGTAGAAATCGCCAATCGGCTCAGTTTACAGGCAAATGAGGCAGCGAAGGGAGCAGGAGGAGATGGGGTGTGTGGGGAACACCAGGAAGCTCTGAAACTGTTCTGTAAAGAGGATGAAACTTCGATCTGTCTGGTTTGCCATCTGTCCCGGACTCACAGAGCTCACACGGTGGTTCCCATAGAGGAGGCTGCCCAGGAGTACAAGGTAGGGAATTGCTGTCAAGTTTAATGGGTAATAACTTTGGATTTTAATTACAGGCTAATTTCACTGAAAGTTACATTGAACAGGTCAGCTCTGTAAAGCCTTCATGGTATGGGAGATGCTGTAATAAAATAATTAATTTGGCAGTTTGGCAACAGAGGCAAAATATAAAACTCTTTACAGACACCTCCTGATGTGGGAAACTTTTCTGAGATGCAGAATCCTTTGCAAACCCAGCTTTTTTTTTTTTTTAACACAACGGAAGCTGTGAAATGCTCAGTGAAGCTTGACTCAGAAGAGCTGCAGACCGATCTATATGAATATGTTGCCCTCAGCCTGGAGAAGGGGAAGTTACAAGCTGTTCTTGTTACTGATTTGTTTAACTGAGTGACCAAAGAGATTGAAGTGTTCTCCGACTGGTTTTTGAATGTTATAATTCTTGACATCTGATTTGCGTCCATTTATTCTTTTACATAGAAACTGTCCAGTTTGGCCAATTCACCTGTGCATCTACCAATGTGATATATGCCATCATGTGCCAGCAATGCCCCTCTGCCATGTACATTGGCCAAACTGGACAGTCTCTACGTAAAAGAATAAATGGACACAAATCAGACGTCAAGAATTATAACATTCATAAAGCAGTCGGAGAACACTTCAATCTCTCTGGTCACTCGATTACAGACCTAAAAGTGGCAATTCTTCAACAAAAAAACTTCAAAAACAGACTCTAACGAGAGACTGCTGAATTGGAATTCATTTGCAAACTGGATACTATTAACTTAGGCTTGAATAAAGACTGGGAGTGGATGGGTCACTGCACAAAGTAAAACTATTTCCCCTTGTTTATTTCCCCTCCTACTGTTCTTGAAAAGTGCTGGAAATGGCCCACCTTGATTATCACTACAGAAGGTCCGTCCCCTCCCCCGCTCTCCTGCTGGTAACATCTCACCTTTCCTGATCACTCTGGTTACAGTCTGTAGGGCAACACCCATTGTTTCATGTTCTCTGTGTATATAAAATCTCCCCAGTATATTTTCCACTGTATGCGTCCGATGAAGTGAGCTGTAGCTCACGAAAGCTCATGCTCAAATAAATGGGTTAGTCTCTAAGGTGCCACGAGTCCTCCTTTTCTTTTTGCGAAGACAGACTAACTCGGCTGCTACTCTGAAACCTGAGGCCCAGAGAGTTGCCCAGGGTCATCGGTAGATGGGAACAGAACTGAGGTCTTCCTAGACCAGGTCCAGGGCCCTAACTGCTAGACCATGCTGCTACCCTAGTGTCAGTCCCACCCCCGATGAAGTGTGTCCATTAGCAGGGAAAAGTACCTTGATAAAGGCCCCAGATCCAGCAGGGAGATTAAATTTCTCACGGGGATTCTGAATTCCTGTGCTGCTCCATGGGGGGTTAAACTCAGATGCTGCCGGCCTGCACTAGAGGAGATCACTGGGCTCAACATTGTGTGGGACCCCGAGCACCTTCAGTCCGCACACAACAGGGCTTCAGACAGCTCAGGTCCATGCCAAGTCACACTGGGATTAGACTGGATAGCAGCAAAATTAACTCCTGGGAGGTGCTGACCGGTGCCAGTCTGACCTGTTCTGTTGTGTACGTGGGCAAGACCCAGCCAGAGTGGTTCCATGAGTCCCACCAGGCAGCCTTTTGAAATCTCCCAGAGTCCACTGCTTCCGGGATCTTTACCAGGCAATGGGACAGTGGGGTACCTGCCCAGGGGGATTGCCACGGAAAGGAGTCAGGACAGCACTGGGCCAAACCCCAACCCGTTCTTCATACAAATCTGCATCATGTCTAATTAGGGAGGTCACCGAGGCTTCCACAAAGCATGGGACATCCCCATGCCTGCCTGCCTGGGCCCATCCTCACCAGTATCAGTTGCCCTGTGTGGGCCCCACCACCGCCTTTGTGAGTGGACCACCCATCTGCATCACTGTGCATGGAGGTGCCACCCCCAGCCCCACCCCCATCTCAGAGGTTTCCTCCTGCATCCTCAGTCTCCTCCTCTTTCTTTTGCACCAGACAAAGCCACGTCCAGTGCTGGGTCCCTGCCGGACAGGGATAGGGCTCCACAGAACTGGGACCGCGCAGCTTCAAACCAGACGAGTGGCCTCCCGACGTCTCATGGGCTTTGCCCTGGTGCTTAGACCCGCTCTGTCCAACCAGTGCAGTCCCCAGGGCTGCAGGGCTGAAATCCCAGCCCATATTGAAACCCTGGTGGCTTCTGGGATTTGTTTCACTTTGTTCATTAAACCTTCTCAAAAACAGATATATTGATTCTCCCCCATGTGACTCCAGTGCCCTGGTATGTGCTGTACCACTGATCAATTCATAAACACCAGTAAAGCTTGGTTATAATTGAGATCTCTCTCATTACTAAAGAGAGTATAAAAGAGTATAAAAATATTGCTCGGGCATGTAGGAATGAAATCAGGAGGGCCAAATCACACCTGGAGCTGCAGCTAGCAAGAGATGTTAAGAGTAACAAGAAGGGTTTCTTCAGGTATGTTGGCAACAAGAAGAAAGCCAAGGAAAGTGTGGGCCCCTTACTGAATGAGGGAGGCAACCTAGTGACAGAGGATGTGGAAAAAGCTAATGTACTTAATGCTTTTTTTGCCTCTGTCTTCACGAACAAGGTCAGCTCCTAGACTGCTGCTCTGGGCATCACAGCATGGGGAGTAGGTGGCCAGCCCTCTGTGGAGAAAGGGGTGGTTAGGGACTATTTAGAAAAGCTGGACGTGCACAAGTCCATGGGGCCGGACGCGTTGCATCCGAGAGTGCTGAAGGAATTGGCGGCTGTGATTGCAGAGCCATTGGCCATTATCTTTGAAAACTCGTGGCGAACGGGGGAAGTCCCGGATGACTGGAAAAAGGCTAATGTAGTGCCAATCTTTAAAAAAGGGAAGAAGGAGGATCCTGGGAACTACAGGCCAGTCAGTCTCACCTCAGTCCACGGAAAAATCATGGAGCAGGTCCTCAAGGAATCAATCCTGAAGCACTTAGACGAGAGGAAAGTGATCAGGAACAGTCAGCATGGATTCACCAAGGGAAGGTCATGCCTGACTAATCTAATCGCCTTTTATGATGAGATTACTGGTTCTGTGGATGAAGGGAAAGCAGTGGATGTATTGTTTCTTGACTTTAGCAAAGCTTTTGACATGGTCTCCCACAGTATTCTTGTCAGCAAGTTAAAGAAGTATGGGCTGGATGAATGCACTATAAGGTGGGTAGAAAGTTGGCTAGATTGTCGGGCTCAACGGGTAGTGATCAATGGCTCCATGTCTAGTTGGCAGCCGGTATCAAGTGGAGTGCCCCAAGGGTCGGTCTTGGGGCCGGTTTTGTTCAATATCTTCATAAATGATCTGGAGGATGGTGTGGATTGCACTCTCAGCAAATTTGCGGATGATACTAAACGAGGAGGAGTGGTAGATACGCTGGAGGGCAGGGATAGGATACAGAGGGACCTAGACAAATTGGAGGATTGGGCCAAAAGAAATCTGATGAGGTTCAACAAGGATAAGTGCTGGGTCCTGCGCTTAGGACGGAAGAACCCAATGCACCGCTGCAGACTAGGGACCGAAAGGCTAGGCAGCAATTCTGCAGAAAAGGACCTAGGGGTGACAGTGGACAAGAAGCTGGATATGAGTCAACAGTGTGCCCTTGTTGCCAAGAAGGCCAATGGCATTTTGGGATGTATAAGTAGGGGCATAGCCAGCAGATCGAGGGACGTGATCGTTCCCCTCTATTCGACATTGGTGAGGCCTCATCTGGAGTACTGTGTCCAGTTTTGGGCCCCGCACTACAAGAAGGATGTGGAAAAATTGGAGAGAGTCCAGCAAAGGGCAACAAAAATGATTAGGGGTCTGGAACACATGACTTATGAGGAGAGGCTGAGGGAACTGGGATTGTTTAGTCTGCAGAAGAGAAGAATGAGGGGGGATTTGATAGCTGCTTTCAACTACCTGAAAGGGGGTTCCAAAGAGGATGGTTCTAGACTATTCTCAGTGGTAGAAGAGGACAGGACAAGGAGTAATGGTCTCAAGTTGCAGTGGGGGAGATTTAGGTTGGATATTAGGAAAAACTTGTTCACTAGGAGGATGGTGAAACACTGGAATACGTTACCTAGGGAGGTGGTAGAATCTCCTTCCTTAGAAGTTTTTAAGGTCAGGCTTGACAAAGCCCTGGCTGGGATGATTTAATTGGGGATTGATCCTGCTTTGAGCAGGGGGTTGGACTGGATGGCCTCCTGAGGTCCCTTCCGGCCCTGATATTCTAGGATTCTATGAGACTGACCCTGATTTGGTAACAAGTCTGAATATGACACGCTCCCAGTCTCTATTAATGAGGTTTTATCTCCTTGGTGGCCCTGATGTCACAAAGCAATTAGAACCAACAGTCATCTTAGGTTTGGGTGCAAAAACACTCAGTTCACACCCCTCTCAACCCTCAAAATGAAACCTCTTGAATCCTTTCTGTTTCTTCAGGAAAAACTTCAGGCCCATTTGAAGACTCTGAGGGAAGAGAGAGAAAAGCTGCTGGAATCAAAAGTGACTGGAGGAGGGAAAAGCTGGGAGTATTTGGTAGGTGCCTGTTGTTATTAAGCAGCAGGGACTGGTCGTGGGAGGTCTGTTTGGAGGCAGATTCCCCTGTGGCCTTGATGAATGTGGGCTTGTGTGTGTTCATCCCTGATCATGGATTGCTGGGTTAGATCTATGTGTAGACAAGCCCTAAGCTTCCATTGCAGTTATGAGTTAATGTCTAGCCCTTGTGGCTTTCACAGAAATCCTCCCCAAGTGAACTGAATGTCCCTGTGAGGTGCTGTCCACTGTGTCTGGTCATTTCTTGCACTAACATGATCTTAGAATTTTCAAAGAAGATCTTCCTCTTGCACACTCAGCTTTCCATTAAAGGGCCCCAGGATCCATCCGTGTCCCTGACCAGCCCTTTCCCTATTTTCGTACAGATACAGACACAAACCGAGAGGCAGAAGATTGTGTCTGAATTTCAGCAACTGCGGCAGTTCCTGGAGGAACAAGAGCGACTCCTGCTGGGCCAGCTGGACAAGTTGGATGAGGAGATTGTGTGCATCCAGAATGAAAATGTCAGTATATTCTCTGAGGAGATTTCCCATCTCAGTGAGCTGATCAGTGAGCTGGAGGGGAAGTGTCAGAAGCCAGCAAGTGTATTCCTGCAGGTGAGACTGAGTGAGAAACACCCCAGATCCCCACACAGAGAAGGGAGGGCTCCTGAATCATAAGCACTGGGGTCCAGCAGTCAGAGATCTTGGTGTAACTCGGCGTGTCCATTGCTGACATGTGAAGTACTATTGTTCTTTGCAGAGACACAGACACAGAGATATGAGAGAAGGAAAAGTCCCATTAATTCAGGGAATCCATGGCCCTGGGGCCAGGGTAGGGTCTCTCTTCCCCCAAACTTCCTAAATCCCTTCCCTGGGATCCCCTGTGTGTATCAGAGGGGACTGATATTCTTTTCTCTCTCTCTCCTCTAGGATGTCAGAAGCACCTTGAGCAGGTATGTGGCTTTCTCTCACTCCCCCTCACACTTCACAGTGCTGGGAAAGAGCTTGGAGATTATGTTAGCACCATATCTCCCCAGGGCTCTATAGCAAAATGTGTGGGGAAGGTCACATGCTGGATACAAATCTCTCTGAACAACTTTATCCAGAGGTTCTCACCCTTACACTGAACATTCTGGAATTATCCATTCAGTGGGAAAGACTGACCTCAAGTATTTCCTAAGGATGTCACATCCCTGGGGGACTGGCTGCCTCAGGATTGTGGGGATGGAATATGGGCCTGTCACTGCTGGGGGCCCTGGTTACCATTCAGCCCAGGGCAGCCATGGTCAAGAGTCTTTCCCACCTGAGGACTGTCTGGAGACCTGTGTGGAATGAGCTGCAGAGAGGGGAGTTGGTGTCTTAGTCTAGTGGACCGATTTCTACAGCACTTCACGTGGGAACCTCCTGTCCATCAGAGCATGGAGGCCAAGGAGTGAATTGGCCATGGAGACTCAATTCCCCTTTTGTCCCCAGAGCTGATCTCTCCAGGCCAGAGTTGAAGAACATTTATGGGTCCTTTGAGGGGAACATTTCATGGCCATGGCCTGTGCTGCACCTGCTCTGAGGCTGGGAGAAGTCGAGGAATTCTAACTCCAGGCCCATTAGAGCAGCGACTCACTAACAAAAGCTTATAATCAGTCACTAAATGCAACATAATCATGTGAAATTTTTTCTCTCCAGGTGTGAGAAGGGGAAGTTCCAGCAGCCAGAGGAGATTTCTCCTGAACTGGAAGAGCAGGTCCGTGGTTACTTCCAGAAAACTCTTGCGCTATTGGAGACTCTGAGGAAGTTCAAAGGTACCTAGAAGGGATCTAGGCGGGGAAACTGGGTTAAGCATCTGAGACTGTGGGAAGAGAATGGCGCTGGTCAGTTGGGTCATAATTAGTTTATCACCTTGATTACCTTGTTTGACCATTCTTTTAGTATCCTGGGCTTCCTTCTCCATGTGTGGCAATATCTTTTCAGGACGAAATCTTCCCATCTCTTCTGAGGGCGGCTGAGTGGTTGTTTCAGTTCCCATGGGTTATATGATGCTTCTATTTAAAATTGTTGGGTGAGAAGGCTACGCACTTGGGGTCCAAGACTCTCAGGTTGATTAATTCAACCTCTTATTTGCTCCAAAAGTATGTCTTGCCATGACAATTACTGCTCAAGTAAGAAATGACGGACATGCTGAAAGAAATACTGCCCAGTTACCTTCTCCTGGGGCAAAGGTCGGTCATGATGCATTTCTCCTTTGATGCTCTGACTACTCCATACAATGTCCGACATATTATACACATCCAGATTATATACAGTATTTATTAGATCTTTTTCAGTCACCTTTGTGTGTTATGAATAGTAAGTGTCTTGCCTAAATCATTTACTGCACCTGCATGAACTTTTTAATTGGCAGGGCTTTTGCTGTCCAAGCTATTTTCATGTTATTCTCTTTTCTGATTCATTCATCACCACCCAATACACTGATGTGCACAGATAACTTTGACCTTTTCTCCACATAGGGGTTTTTGGACTTTGCCAACTGCTCCTGGGCGGTACATTTTGGGTGTCTGTTGTCTTTAAGCACATTGTGTGGTCAAAACATCTCTTTGTCCCACATAGCAACTTATGAACACATCACTTAATAACAAGGACACTTAAGGCAACGTTTCCCTTATGTCAAGTAAACCGCTCACCAGGCCAAAGCCAAGTCAGTCAGTACAAACGCACAGTCTCGGTCTGTCCAAACTTATGTATAAGAAATGACCCTTGTACCAATTCTCGATACTTAATATAATAACTCGTGGAAAGCAGACAAATGGAGCGGATGTAGCAAGGGCCCAGGCATCAGGATGTCTCACGTTAATTCATGATTTACCAAAGGTCACAACCAGTGATGAGCTGCCAAAATCTTAACAACGGGTTCCCTCCTCACTCCATGAGGGGGTTGTTGCCCACCCCCGCCCCCCGGGACTCCTGCCCCATCCACCCCACTCCCCTGTCCCCTGACTGCGCCCAGAACTGGGCAAGAGGGTCTCGTGGGCCACCGTAGTGGGTGCCCACCCCACCCCTAAGTGCCGGAGGGACTTGCTGGGGGGCGAGGTGGGGATTCCCGGCGGTGCTTACCTGGGGCAGCTCCCAGGAAGCATCCGGCAGGTCCCTCTGGCTCCTAGGGACTGGGGAGCGTAGCTGGGGGGGAACAGGGGGAGCTGCTGGAGCACCCACGGGGAAAATTTGGTGGGTGCAGAGCCTCCACCGGCAGCTCTCCGCCCTGCGCCCGGCCCCAGCTCGCCTCCACTCCGCCTCCGCCTCCTCCCCTGAACCAACCATCCTGCTCTGCTTCTCCGCGCGCCCCGCTTCCCGCGAATCAGCTGTTCAGTGGGAAGCCAGGGAGGGCTGAGAAGCAGGCCGCAACTTCCTGCTCAGGCCAAGGGTGGCGGAGGCGAGCTGGGGCAGGGAGCAGTTCCCCTGCGCCCGCCCCCCCCACCCCCGGTTACCTGCTGCGGCGCGGGCGGCCCTCTTCGCGCTCCCTCCCCCCGCCCGAGCTCACCTCCTCTCTGCCTCCCTGGCCCAGAGCGGGAAGGCGCCGCTTGCTTCTCAGCCCGCCCCGGCTTCCCACCGAACAGCTGATTCGCGGGAAGCGGGGGGCGCGGAGAAGCAGAGCGGGGCAGCGCGTTCAGGGGAGGAGGCGGAGCGGAGGTGAGCTGGGGCCGGGGATGGGGCAGGGAGCTGCCGGTGGGGGCTCTGCACCCACCAAATTTTCCCCGTGGGTGCTCCAGGCCTGGAGCACCCGTGGAGTCGGCACCTAAGAGCCACTTTGGGCCGGTTGTTAAATTTAGAAGCCCGTTTAGAACCGGTTCTCCCTCACAGAACAACCGGTTCTAAAAGGGCTTCTAAATTTAACAACCGGTTCTAGCGAACCAGTGCGAACCGGCTCCAGCTCACCACTGGTCACAACATTCAACACTCAGTCCCAAATTCAGGAAAATGGCCTAAGTTGGGGCACCCGAGTTTCCCTCTCCCAGCTGGAGAGCTGCAGGGCAGCTGCCCAGAGCCGTGTAGCCTCCAGAGCTGCAGGTGGAGTCAGTGGGAGCCGCAGGAGACCAGCCCCTCTGAGAACCAGGCCCCAGGTGCCTAAAGGTCGGCACCCAAAATTAAAGATCAATTGTTACACCTGGACCCAGCCCAGCTCTGGTCCCGTACGCAGCTAGTCTGGGCCAAATGGGCGGTAGGGAAGGAGAAGCCCCCCCCCCACGGTGAGGGATCCCTCCAGCACCAGAGCTTCTGGTGCCTCCTCCCCAGCAGCTGCAGGCACAAGGCGGGGTCCTGAGAGGGCTGGGAATGGGGTGGGGGTGGCGAGAGGGGGGATGAGGGGGAAGGGTGGATGAGGGATAGAGGGCCGTGGGCCGTGTAAAGCTGGGCCTCTGACACTCTGCACCCTGGGCAAGACCCATGGTTTCAGACCTTTTTATATTAAATACCTGAGTGTCTCTCTGCCTGTCTCTCTGTCACGATGAAAACACAGTTCTAGGAGTTCAGAGTGGGGATGCTGTTGTAAATATGAAAGCCTGAAATCTCCCCCCTCTTCTCCTTTCCCCCTGCAGACACTCTGCCGTCCGAACTGGAGACAAAAAGAGGGGAACCACTCGGAGCACACAGACAGGGTGAGACTGCAGCCTCTTTCCAGCCCTGGCCCCTCTCAGACCCCACCCCTGCTCCCCTTCCCCCGAGGCCCAGAGCCCAGCTGTCACCCAGGGCGCTCGGGCGGCCCTGGGGAACCCTGCACCCTCCACCTGTCCTGGGGTGGTGCGCTCTGGGGAGTGGAAACATGGGCCGGGGGCTGCTCCCAGGCCCCCCAGACACCAGCTCAGGGCAGGTGGAGGGTCAGGGGCTCCCCACAGTGGCCAAAGCTCCCAGCATGGCGAGGGGTCAGGGCCTCGGTGGGAAGAGGAGTCATGGGGCAGGGCCACGGAGTGGGCAGGACCGCAGGCAATGGGCCCTTGTGCCCCCCCCAAACTTCTACCAAGATTCCAGAACACCTAGGGGGGATCCCAAGCCGACATCACACAAATAATCCTGGTTTCAGAGTAGCAGCCGTGTTAGTCTGTATCCGCAAAAAGAACAAGAGGACTTGTGGCACCTTAGAGACTAACCAATTTATTTGAGCATAAGCTTTTGTGGGCTACAGCCCACTTCATGCATGCGTCCGACGAAGCGGGCTGTAGCCCACGAAAGCTTATGCTTTGTTACGAATTACACCTGATAGGACACGCACACAACTGCTGCGAATTACACCTTGTAGGACACGCACACAAATGCTACGAATTATACCTGATAGGACACGCACAGTTCGAATCTAGGCTGAGGCACATAAACAAAGTCCACAACTGCAGAGTTCCCAAAAGACACTAAGTTTATTACGCTCGAGCGTGGTGCCCCCCTGCTAGCCAGGGGGGGACCCTGAATACAGATTATACAAAGGTTATATACTTTTTAGCAAAGCATGTTGCCCTCGTGCATCGGAAACCTTAGCCAATAAACAAACCTTGTCTTATCTACCACCTATCCCTGCTTGGTGCATTCCTCGTGCTATACCAGTATGTTAATTACACAGCATGGTCCTAAAGCCATGCATCAGTAACTTTTATTATCAGGATGGGAGGCCTCACATCAAGGCCAAGAGACAGGGAGTTAGAGACTGACAAAAATCAGATACTGGGAGTCAAGGCAGGCTGGAGACAAGGAGGAGGATTTTCACAGGGATTCAGTATCTAAGGATCACTCCTCCTGGTGTATGATGTGCTGGCATTTAAACAATGGTGGGCCCCAAACCAAAATGGAGTCACATGTGCTAACTTTTCCTTAACAGTTTAAATAAATTTGTTAGTCTCTAAGATGCCACAAGTCCTCTTGTTCTTTTTACAAATAATCCTGACACCAACCTGAGTGCTGAGTTCATGCCCAGCCCAGGCTGCTGAACTGAAACACTCTCCCTGAGCAGCACCCGAACAGAGCTCCCTGCCCTGAGGCCTGACACACCCCTCCACTTTACCCAGAGACTCCCCATCGCGCTTCTCCAACATCTGGCCTTTCCTTTGGGCAGGGCTGGGCTCTCCCATTGGGGCTGCTCCCTGCTTCCTGGATTGGGGAGATTCTCCCCCTCTGATGCTGGCAGCTCCTCCTTTCTCTCTAGGCTGGGGATGGGGCTATCTCACCCAATGCCGCCTCCTACTCTGGTCTTAAGCAGCTCTTCCCCAATGACAGGTTTCAGAGTAACAGCCGTGTTAGTCTGTATTCGCAAAAAGAAAAGGAGTACTTGTGGCACCTTAGAGACTAACCAATTTATTTGAGCATAAGCTTTTGTGAGCTACAGCTCACTTCATTAAGGTGCCACAAGTACTCCTTTTCTTCTTCCCCAATGCTGCACCTTCCTCTCTGTTCCCTGGCCTGGGAGTGAAGGCTGCCTTAAGGGATGGAGTTTCTCTCTGGGTTTTTAAACTGGTACCTGCCTCCTCTGTTCCCTCCTCAATAAAAGCTTCTGATCCCTTCCTCGCTGTGTCTCTGCCGCTGGGAATGCAGCAGCCCCAGCAGGAGGAGCTGGGAGCTTTGAAGTTTTTGCAAGCAAATGAGAAACAGGCTGAGGAAGTGCAGTGACATCCCTGCTCAGTCTCAGGTGCCCAGGACAGAGGCAGCTCCCTGGGATCCAGGCCTGTCCCAGCCAGAATAGGGCTGCTGGGGAGAGTGAGAAATGGCCCCAGCTGCCCCCAGGGCCGAGCTCTGCCCCTCACGCTCTGATTCTCTCTCCCCCACAGCGAATGTGACTCTGGATCCAGACACGGCTCAGCCTGACCTCATTCTGTCTGCGGACTGGAAGAGTGTGAGATGGGAATACACACGGCAGGATCTTCCCCACAACCCTGAGAGATTTGACACTGCTCTCTGTGTGCTGGGCTGTGAGGGATTCACCTTGGGGAGACATTGCTGGGAGGTGGAGGTGAGGGGTGGGGAACGCTGGGCTGTGGGGGTGGCCAGAGAGTCTGTGAGGAGGAAGGGGGTGATCAGCCTCAGCCCTGAAGGGGGGATCTGGGCTGTGGAGCGGTGGTGGGGTCAGTTCCGGGCTCTCACCTCCCCTGAGACCTCCCTGCCATGGTACCGGGCCCCCAGCAGGATCCGGGTTTGTCTGGACTGTGACCAGGGGCAGGTGACATTTATCGATGCTGGTGACGAGGCCCCGATCTTCACTTTCCCACCGGGCTCCGTCCCTGGGGAGAGAATCCGCCCCTGGCTCTGGGTGGGGCCAGGATCCCAGCTCCGCCTGTGTCCCTGAGACACAGGGTGGGGTGTCAGGGTGTGTGTGTGTGTAATATCCCACTGGGGGTCCTGAGATCAGCCTCTCTAGCCTCACAGTCTGTATGACCCTGGAGGTTGCTTCGGGTCTCAACTCTGTGCAGCCTCAGGACTGTCAAACCATAGAGAGCATTCAGTGAGCGAGGCAGAGAAGCCTATCTCATTGCCCTAGAAAAAAATGCTGATCACGCACTGGGGGGACGACTCCTTTTCCCCCGCTCATCGGCCGCCCCGCCAATCAGCTCATCAGTATCCCCTCCAGAGCCTCCCACCCACCACCATCCGCTGTTTCGTGGCATGCCGAAGGCGATGGGTGGGGCGGGCCTGGGCAATGCATGCCAGGCTAGCCGCCGAGACAGTGCTCTGCATCCGTGCGCAGCAGCTGCCCGAGAAAGCCTGGCTGGGGAGGTGATTTCTCCTCCCGACTTGGGCTCAGCTGCCAGAGTTTGGCACCCGAGCCCAGGTAGGGAGCGGAAGCGGCCTTTCCAGCCAGACTCTCTCAGGCAGCTGCCCCAGCAAGAGGGGCTGGTGTTAAAAGGCGTCTTCTTCCTGCTCCTCCCTGGGCTCCTGCCCGCCAGGGACAGCGGCAGAACATGCCGTGAGGAGGGGCCAATGCAGCGGGAGGAAAAAGCACACACACACTCCGCAGGTAGCATGGGGCCGGGAGAGCGCGGTGGCCCCGAGGCTGGGTGCAGGAGCACGAGACCTGCCCTTTAGATCGTGCCCCCCCCCCCATTACGGGGAGACAGCAGTTGAACATGGAGCACCCTGGGGGAGGGGGTGAGAAGGGGTGGAGTGGGGGGTGGGGCATAGGATGGAGTGGGGTGAGGGTTTGAGCACCCTCCGGAAAATCTAGAGGTCGGTGCCTAAGTAGACAAGCCGATCTCATCACTGCCCCAGGAATTGTGCAGCCTGTTTGCCACTGTTCTCTATGGTCCAGGAGGACTCTGGGGATCCTGGGTCAGACAGTGACACTGAAACATGAGGGGGAACAGCCCACTGGGCATGGAAAAATGGGTTTCTCTAGCCAAGTTATCCTAGCCCCTATGGCCTGGAGGACTCCTGTCTACCCAGCCGTCTGGCCTCTTAGCTCTGTGAGCCCTGGAAGCTCCTCCCCACTCCCTCCCTGCAGCACCATGGATGAAGGGATGGGGGCGGGAAGGGCCAGTGGAACGACAGGAGCAGAGGGGCAGAGGTGGGGGCTGGGGACAGGCAGGTGTGGGGTGGAGGGACACAGATTTAATTAATTGTGGTTTTGGGGAGAAGCTGGCCCCAGAGGGGTTTCCCTGGAGCTAGCTGGAAACACAGGGGCTGAGGGATTGGCTGGCTGGTGTGCGGGAGGCAGGAAGCCAGGAGAAGCAGTCGTGAGCCTGGTCTCAGCAGGAAACTGAGAGACAGAACTTGCTTCAGGGACAGGGACCCCTGGAAAGGCAGATGTGCATTTCTGAGTAAGGAAACTGCCGGCTGCTGTTTGTCTCTACTGTGTTCAGGGCACAGGAATGTGCGGACATTGTAAATAATAAAGATGCCACCAAAGAAATACCTGACTCCAATAATCCATCCCCCTGCCAGTGGAAGAACCTAGCAAGGCCCCAACACTGGCTAACGGCTCAGGTCAAAGGAGCGATGGTGCAACCCGGGTCAGAATCCAGACCTGTGGTGGCAAATGCGTTGGTGGGGAACATTTGCGGGGAGCTCCAGCAGCAAAGAGCCTGTGCAGAGGGGCGGATTGCTGCTCATTGTGGATGTGAGCATGTCCGGCTTTGTGTGCTTAGCAGGCCCCACTGTGCCTCCTCTCCGAGTTGACACGCCTCTCCCCAGAGTCAGACAAAACCCAAACATGGATCCCTGGCTCATATTTCCCCCCAGCAGAACCAGCCCACACAGTGATGATGGGCTCAGTATTGGCCCGAGGAGAAAAAATGGTTGGAAGAGACTGGGGCTGCTGGAATGGGCTGGGGGTGGGGGAAGGGTAGGATTGTTCCCTTCTTCTGTCTATGGAGTTTTATAAAGTTTAAACCTAAAAATCTTCTTTCCAGCTCTTATCTGGTATTGTGAACAGGCTGGGCTGTGTAACCTTTAACGGCAATGTCATAGAGCTGTTGTTTTCGTGCCTTGTCATTAGCACATGCCAGCTGCCTCTGACCTTAACCCAGGGAGCCCCTGTTGCCTAGCTGGTCCCAGGCGGGTGGTTGAATGTTCAGCAAGACACAGCCAAGCCGAGGCTCCTCCGCACACACATTGTCACTGAAATCACTCAATGGGGTTTAGGTCCCACCTACTGTAGTTTCAGTGCAAGTCTGCCTGTAGCTGTGGATGCCCTCACTGTGAATGAAGAATGTCCTAGTTCGTTTAAATGGCAAAGAGTCCTGTGGCACCTTATAGACTAACAGACGTATTGGAGCCTAAGCTTTCATGGGTGAATCCCCACTTCGTCGGATGCATGTAGTGGAAATTCCCAGAGGCAGGTATAAATATGCAAGGAAGAATCAGGCTAGGGATAACCAGGTTAGTTCCATCAGGGAGGATGAGGCCCTGTTCTAGCAGTTGAGGTGTGACCACCAAGGGAGGAGAAACGGCTTTTGTAGTTGGCGAGCTAGTTCGTTTGAGGGCATGTCTACCCAACACCGGGGCGGTGTGATTCCCAGCTGATGGCTGGAGCTAGCCTACAACTACTAGCGGGGCAGCTGCAGAAGCCAGGAGGCCGCTTGAGCTAGCCCCGGGAGTACAAGCCGGCTCAACCCCCACCTGAACGTGTACTATGTAGAAATGAAGCTTTTATGTGCTTGTTGTTTTGTTTGTTTCCCCCCTTTTCCTTTCATTCCTTTTCGGCTTCTTTATACCCCATTGCTCCCATTCCTTGCCTAGGTAGTTCCTGCTTCCTTCTTTGCGTATCTTTCTCCTGCTCCACCTCCTGGGCTCTCCTTTCTCTTCACCTCATTCTGCACCTGTGCAGCTGATAGGAGGTGGGGCAGGGACTGCCCATTATCAGCAAAACCATTTCTGGTGCAGAGAGAACAGAAGCCCAGACATCCCAGCAGCCATGGCCTCAGCTACTCCTGTACAGGAAATCTAAGAGGAAACCAAATGTCCCATCTGTCTGGAATATCTGACAGATCAGTGACCATATACTGTGGGCACAACTTCTGCCGAGGCTGCATCACTCAGCGCTGTGAGACATGGGAAGAGCTGGACTCTGATCCCTTGTGCTGCCCCAGTTGCAGAGCCCGAATCCAGAAAAGGGCTCTCCTGCATAATTATCAGCAAGCAAATATTGTGGAAAAAATCAGACAGCTGGATTTCAAACCAGGAAAAGAGAAGCTGTGTGAGAGACACGGCAAAGCCCTGGATCTGTTCTGTGGAGAGGACGGGGAAGCCGTGTGTGTGGTTTGTGAGAGATCCGGTGCTTCTCCCGGACGAGGCTGCCCAGAAATACAAGGTAGGAACACTCTGGATCCGGGTTAATTCAGTCCTTCCCTTTTCAGATTCAGTCTCTCAGAGCTACCGAATCTCCTAGTTTCCCATATTTTCTCCCTGATCTCTGGCTCCACCTAAATCTCTCCCCTACAGGCTCCTTCCTCTGGGCAGGTGCAGGGAGCCCTGGCCACTGGTGGTGCCCCAGCCTGTCAACCCCGCACTGTTCACTGGGGGGACGTGGGCACTAGAGCTCCATGCGAGGCACTTTCCTTGCACGCAGGACTGAAGCAAGATGTGTCCATGCTGCTGCCAGGCTAGGAATGAGCTGTTCCCACCACACCCCTGACAGCCCAGGCACCACCAGCAGGACATTCACATGAATCATGCACGCAGCAGCCCTCACTCTGCTGCATGGAACATCCAGGAGTGGGTTTAAACACAGGTGCTATGGGTTATTCCCTACGGACCCATCTCTAGGGTCACATGAGGTTTCATAATAAAAAAAATCAGCAAACAAAAAGTAACTTTCTAGCCCACATGATTGAAAAGAAAAGTTTGATAACGTAGCCCGAGCTTAACTGATATAGTGACTTGTGCCTGAGTTTGCAGAGAGCCTGAGCCAATAGTCTGAGAAGAGGGAATCTCCATGCGGTTATCTACACTACAAAATTAGGTCAACTTGAGTTAGGTCGACCTCCAGCACCACAGTAATTAAATCGCCTGTTAATGTTCACACTACCCTCCTTCTGCCACTGATACATGTCTTCACCAGGAGCACTTTCACCAACTGAAGTAGGGCATTGTGGGGTAAGGACAGCCAGAGTGTGAGGCACTGACAGCTACTCGGGGATCACAGCCAGAGCCCCCACGCCCCACCCAGGGTCTGACAGCTGGCACCAAAGAGGAAATGTGAAACAATTGCAGCTGTGAAACTGTGCGGGTAGGCTCCCTGCTGTGAAATTGAGCCCTGACTGACAGCTGAGAGGCCCAGCTGTGAGCCCAGATCTCAGCTGACATCCCAGGCAGTCAGCACTGGGGCGGGGGAGGAGGGGCTCCATCAGTGAGCCCAGCTGTCAGCGCTGTGGTGGAGGTGGGCCAGCTGTCAGCCCCACACCGATGTAAGTTATGCAGTGGCTACATGGATGCGGCGTCATCCTATCTACACTGACATAAGCACTACGCCTCTCGTGGAAGTGAAGTGATTATGTCAGCAAAGCAGGCCGCTTCTTTCAGCAGAAGCAGCATTGCAGTGTAGACACTGACATAATTATGTCTATACAAGGCAGCCTGACGTCGACCTCACTCTGTAGTGCAAACTAAGTTAATGGAGTGTCCCCCCAAGAACAACTGCTCTGGGGTCCTCATTCACTTTTCTCCAGCTGGGGGCTCTGTGTGTGCAGCAGGCGGGGAAGAAGGCAGTGGGCCCAGCTCTCCATTCCAAGAAAATAAAAATGATACACAAATCGGCAGCTTAAATGTACTGAGGTCCCTGCCCCAAAGAGCTTGCAGTCTATAAAGATGAGTAGAGACAAATTCCCCCTCCCCTCCAAATAAGCATTTGTGTGTGTACTTTATTTTCAAACATAGTTTGAGAACCTTCTGAATTTTCTGCTGTACTCAGATGGCATTTACCCAAAATAAATAATAGCCCTTTGACAGAGGCAGACCTTTTTAAAAAAATCTGATTTCTACCCAGGACCATGGTTGAACTCGGTGTCTGTGTATTACTCAGGTTCAACGGCTCGCAAAATTCACCTTTGAACCTCTCAACTCTGCAAGTCATTGCTAGCTAGCTTTCAACCCTCTTAGTTTCTCTCTCTCTCCACACGTTCCATGTAGTTTTTTGGGGCTTGACCCTTAGCAAACAGCAGAGTCAGTCCCAGGAAGGGAAACAACCAGTTGTGCTGCAGATGGGGCATATTTCTGAGCTCAGAAAAGTGAACTTTACCTTGTTCCGCTGCCCAGCGGGAGCCAGGGCCACAGAGAACCCTGTGGAAAGTCTCCAGGATGAAGCAACTTGTCCTGTCTGTGTGGAGTATTTCAGAGAACCTGCCACTCTGGAGCATGGGCAAAATTTCAGCCAACCCTGAATGGACTGGCCCTGGGAGGGATGGCATACAGGTGTGTCCTTCCTGCCCCCAGTAAAGAGAAACTGTGAAATAGAGAAATCTCAGGCCAGACAGGCAGTTGGCAAAAGACATAGAAACAGCCAAACTGCTGCGTTTAGAGGCAGCGAAGGGATCAGGAGAGGATGGGATGTGTGAGGAACACCAAGAGGCTCTGAAACTGTTCTTTGAAGAGAATCAAACTTCTCCCTGTCTGGTTTGCCATCTGTCCTGGGCTCACAGAGCTCACACGGTGGTTTCCCTAGACAAGAATGCCTAGGACTACAAGGTAAGGAATTGCTATTAAGTTGAATAACTTTCGATTTTGGGTAACTTATTAAGTTATTAATAGAGTAATAACTTTGGCTTTTAATTACAGATTAATTTCATAGCAAGTTGCCTACCATGGCTATTAGTCTGACTGCATCACTGAGCTCTGTAAAGCCTTCGTTGCATGAAACATGCTATAAAAAGAAAATTATGCAGCACGAAGACTTTAGAGATGCCCTGTGCGAGAAACATGTCTCTGAGAAGTTGAATTCTTTTCCATACCATTTCCCGCTTGGGGACATTTGAGCAAGAGGGTCCTGTGGCTGCAGAGAACACAGTGTAACTGCATTATTTAGCTGTGTAAAGCCATCGATGCTAGAAAAAGTGAAAGATATGGCAGTGTTTCAAGAGAGACCAAAAACCAAAACCTGAAGAACGTAAAGATGTCTGATGTGAGAGAATTTGTGTGTGGGAAGCTGACTCCTCTTCAAACCCAGCTCCCACTGGTGGCAGAAGGGAACTTTCTAACAGAACAAAAAGAAAAGGAGTACTTGTGGCACCTTAGAGACTAACCAATTTATTTGAGCATAAGCTCACGAAAGCTTATGCTCAAATAAATTGGTTAGTCTCTAAGGTGCCACAAGTCATCCTCTTCTTTTTGCGAATACAGACTAACACGGCTGCTACTCTGAAATCTAACAGAACAGAAGGTGTTAAATGACCAGTGAGGTTAAAATCACATGAGTTGCAGGCCAGTCTACGTGGGAGCGCTGCCTTCGGAGTGGAGAATGGGAAGTTACAAGCTGTTGTTGTTACTGGTTTGTACCATAGTGTTTATCATTACTATTTTCCTCCCAGTAGCCGCAACAGATGTCAAACTAGACCTGACCTTCGTCGTACAGGGCCCTTCACAAAACCCAGTGAGGGACAATCCCTGCCCTCAGCAGGTGACAGTCTAACTCAGGGGTGGCCAATCTGTGGCTCCCGAGAGGTTAATATGCGGTTCCTTGCACAGGCGCTAACTCCGGGGCTGGAGCTTCAGATGCCAACTTTCCAATGTCGGAGTGGGGGGGTGTCATGCTCACTGCTCAACCTCTGCCTCTGCCCCAGACCCTTCCCCCACAACACCCCTTCCCCAAGCCTGCCATGTCCTCATCCTTCCCCTCTCCCCCTCCCCACCCGTCCCCAGCCTCCTGCACATGCGAAACAGCTGACTGTGGAGGGTGGGAGGCATGGGGAGGGAGGTTGAGGTGCTGATTGGAGGAGCTGCCGCCAGGTGGGATGCATTGGGGGCTTGAAGGGGGGAGCTGATGGGGGGCTGTTGACGTATTACTGTGGCTCTTTGGGAATGTACATTGGTAAATTCTGGCTCCTTCTGAGGCTCAGGTTGGCCACCCCTAGTCTAACTGGACAAGACAGACAAAGGGTGGGAGGGGAAACAGAGGCACAGACTTGCCCATAGCAGCTCAGCGGCAGAGCTGGGAATAGCACGCATGCCTCCCAAGGCCCAGACCAGGGGACTAATCATTAGGCCATGCTGCCTCCACAGCACCACTGAGCAGCAATGAAGTGTGTCCTTAAGGAGGGAAAGATGCCTTGATAAAGGTCCCAGGCCCAGCAGGGAGAGGAGGTTTCCCACTGGGATTCTGAACTCCTGTGTGGCTCCATGACGGGTTAAACTCATCTGCCAGCCTGCACTAGAGGGGATCACTGGGCTAAACACCTCTGGAAGCCTCTGGAAGCAAATGAGAAAGGATGGAAGTCACTCCAATTAGACAGAATGAGAAACTGCAGTGACATCTCTGCTCAGCCTCAGGTGCCCAGGACCGAAGTAGCTCTCTGGGATCCACGACTGTCCCAGCAAGTGCAGGGCTGCTGGGACACTTGAGGAAATGGTCCCTGTCATAAATATAAAGGGAAAGGTAACCACCTTTCTGTATACAGTGCTATAAAATCCCTTCTGGCCAGAGGCAAAATCCTTTCACCTGTAAAGGGTTAAGAAGCTAAGGTAATCCTGCTAGCACCTGACCCAAAATGGCCAATGAGGGGACAATATTCTTTTAAATCTGGAGGGGGAAAAACAAAGGTTTTGGTCTGTCAGTGTTATGCTTTTGCCAGGAACAGATCAGGAAATGGAAGCCTTATAACTCCTGTAAAGTTAGTAAGTAATCTAGCTAGAAAATGCGTTAGATTTTCTTTTGTTTAATGGCTGGTAAAATAAGCTGTGCTGGAGGGAATGTATATTCCTGTTTTTGTGTCTTTTTGTAACTTAAGGTTTTGTCTAGAGGGATTCTCTGTGTTTTGAATCTGATTACCTTGTAAGGTATTTACCATCCTGATTTTACAGAGGTGATTCTTTTATCTTTTCTTTAATTAAAGTTCTGTTTTTTTAAGGTCCTAAGGGTTTTTAAGGTCCTAAGAAATCCAAGCTGGTCTGTGCTTAACTTGCTTATTCTCAAGCTTCCCCAGGAAAGAGGGTGTAAGGGCTTGGGGAGATAGCTGGGGGAAGAGGCACTCCAAGTGGTCCTTTTCCCTGGTTCTTTGTTAAAGCGCTTGGTGGTGGCAGCATACTGTTCAAGGACAAGGCAAAGTTTGTACCTTGGGGAAGTTTTTAACCTAAGTTGGTAAGAATAAGCTTAGGGGGTCTTTCATGCAGGTCCCCACATCTGTACCCTAGAGTTCAGAGTGAGGAAGGAACCTTGACAGTGCCAGACACCCCCAGGGCCAAGCTCTGCCCCGAATGCTCTGATTTTCTCTCATTCCCCAGCGAAAGTGACTCTGGATCCAGACACGGCTCATCCCCAACTCGTCCTGTCTGAGGATTGGGAAGGTGTGATATGAGCAGGCACGCAGCAGGCTCTACCTGACACCAATCCCTGTGTGCTGGGCTGTGAGGAATTCACCTGGGAGACACATTAGTGAGAAGTGGAGGTGGGGAGCAGGTGATGCTGGGTTTTAGGGGTGGCCGGAAAGTCTGTGAGCAGGAAGGGATTGATCCAGGTTTGTCTGAACTGTGAACGGGGGGCAGCTGACATTTTTCAGTGCTGATAACAAGGCCCTGATCTTTGCTTTCCCACAAGCCTCTGTCACTGTGGGGGAGAATCAGCCCCTGGCTCTGGATGGCGGCAGGATCCTGGCTCAGACTGACACACAGGGGAACATCCCACTGGGGACCCTGAAATCAGCCTCTTTAGCCTCAGACACCCTCGTCCCTATGACTCCAGAGGCTGCATGGAGTCTGCGCGGTCAAACCATAGGGGGCAGGGAGAGATGGAGACAGAAAACCAAACTCATTGCTCCCAGGGATTGTGCAACCTTTTCGTCACTGTCCTCTATGGTCCAGGAGGACTCTGGGGATCACTGTGTCACTGTGATTGTGTGTGTGTGTGTGGGAGGGGAGGGGGAAATAGGCCACTGTTGTGCCAAAGGGGGGGCTCGGATACACTCAATGAAGCCACACCAGGTGTATAAGTACAACCAGTTTTATTGCCAAAGTATAATAAGCTTCCCAGCCTTCACGCGTTACTAAATACATGCTTTCCAGCAACCAAGCAAGCAAGAATCAGTGCTTATGCCCCTTCTGCTACGGACAGTCCCGGACCCTCCAGCCTTGTCCTTGAGGGCTCATAGCAGGCGCTGCTCCAGCGAGGGGGAATTCCTGGGCACTCACAAGGCCTAGGTCCGCAGGTGAGACTGTTCGTCTAAAGCAATTCTCATAGTTGTTTTTATCATCTCTTCCTCAGGGGGTGTATACATCCACAAGCAGGCTCTGGCAGGAAACACTACTGATTTCTATTCCCCTCACACGTAACCCTCTCAGGCCCTCCTTAGCTCTTTTCTCGTTTATCCAGTCGAGTGGCTGCAAGCCAGCCTGGCCAGTCAAAGCCAGTTCACTACTAGTTCTCCCCCGCGCCGCCCCCCAACCCCCACCAACCATTCTGTAACAACAGGCTAAGGTAACTTGCGGTCAGCCCCAACAGCCACCGAGAATGAAAGCTTCTCTAGCCTTAGTAATCCAGGTCTCTCTGACCCTGGAGGACTCATAGGCACCGGAACTAGGAATGCAGGGGTGCTGCAGCACCCCCAGTTTTTGTGTGGGGTCCTGCCTGCCCCACTGTACCCAGAGTCCTGGGCCTGCCAGTCCAGCATCTGGGGCTCTGCTCCTGGCCCTGCACCTGTGGTCCCGACTGTTCCCGCCTTCCCAGCCCCGCACACAGGACCCTGGCGGCTGCTGGACCTGCGCCTGGGGCACTGTTCCCAACCCGCACGCAGGACCCTGGCTGCTGCTGGACCTGCGCCTGGGGCACTGTTCCCAATCCGCGCGCAGGACCCTGGCTGCTGCTGGACCTGCGCCTGGGGCACTGTTCCCAACCCGCACGCAGGACCCTGGCTGCTGCTGGACCTACGCCTGAGGCCTGTTCCCAACCCCACGCAGGACCCTCTCTCTGGACCTCCCTGGGGCACTGTTCCCAACCCGCACACAGGACCCTGGCTGCTGCTGGACCTACGCCTGAGGCTCTGTCCCCAGCCCCGCATGCGGGACCCCCGCTGCCGCCAGCCCTGCACACGGGGCTCTGGATATAGGGTACCATCTTCTGCTGGCCCCACACTCAGGGGCTCAGCTCCTGGCTGCTGTGGGCCCATACCCAGGGCTCTGTTCATGGCCCTTCACCTGGAGTCCACAGGCGGCCAGGATAGAGCAGCTGGTGGCTTTAACCAGAGACACCTGTGGCCAGGAGCTGCCCCGACTCTGCTGCTGGGAATGTGGCAGCCCCGGCAGGGGGAGCAGGGAGATGGAGCAGGGGAGGAGGCAGAAAAGCAGCAAGATGGACCGGAGAACCCAAGGGGACTGTCTGTGACTCCATGTTCAGGCTGTTCTGGTGCTTGAGAGTTTCACATTTGATACCTAGCGTGGGGTTTGTACCCTGGTTTGTAACTGTTTGCCCTGAGGTTGGTACTCACATTTGTGAGCTACTCTAGACAGTGGAGTCAAACCTGGGTCTCCCACGTGCCAGCTGAGGGCTCTCACCATGGGGGTAAAAGTTATCAGGCAGGTGACATCACAAAACCCACCTCCACCTTCTCCCCACCCCCACACTCACATTTTGTGTGGAGCGAGGCAGGTGCCTGACTCATTCCAGCAAGAAACGCCTCAGGTGCCTGAGCCACCGGACGTCAGGCGCTGGGTTCCCGTCTGTGGGCGGCTGAGCAGAGACCGACGCCCCCCTGCAGCCCCGATTTAGGCACCTGTCAGTGAGAGGGGGCAGGGCTTAGGACACCCCTCCCCCCTTGTCAGCATCTCCCCTTGTCTAGCTTAGATGGCTCCCCGCCTAGTGAGCTGGCTTTTGTGAATCGCACTGTGAGGTGCCTCTGATGCCCACTTGCATTGTCTAGGGGGTTTAGGCACCCTGACTCAGCTTTGCAGAATGTGATTTTCTGGTTGCCTACAAACTCGGCCCTGTGACGCTCAGCATTGCAACACCAAGTCCCTTCATGGATTGTCCCCTGTGCAACCAGTCACCTCTCCGCAGAGCACAGCTGAGCAATTCCTCATTGACACGGGTGTGCACAGGACAGAGGCAGAGCACAGGCTGGTTAGTGACACATCCCAGTAAAACACAAAATTCTCCTCCTAGAGGCGCGATATTCCCTGTGGGGGCTGTGGGGACACAACCAAGTCAGGAAGCAAATCCCAGGACTCTGCCCTCGACAACTGCAGCTGGGACATGAAAGTGGAACAAACAAGAAGAATTGTTTGTAATGTTTTATTTTACAGTAATTACTAAAGGCGGTGGTAAGTAAACAGAGCTGAGAAGGAGCCTTAATAACCACAGCATGGCAAGGAGATCCCCAGCTACTGAGAACAGTTTTCTTAATGGCACTAAAATAGCACCAATGGCCAGGAATTAATATAGGGAATTAATGAGTTACAGTCTCACTTTCAGTAACATGTCATAAATCTCTCTCTTCCCTTTCCTTCCATACTCTCCTTTTCTGTTCATTTTTCTTAACCCTCACTTCTGATCCCTGTTTATTTTCCTGTGTTTCTCCCACTCTCCTCCCCTCCCTGTTACAGATCAGCCCCCATGGCTGCTCCATTCCACCCCCCTCCACCCCCAATTTTATCCCTTCCCCTCTTGCTGCCCCCAGGCTGGTTCCCCTGTCAGGGATAGTTTCCTGTCACTCTTCTCATTTCTATTTTCCACCATTTCTCCTGGACTCTCCCTTTATTCTTGTTTTATTTTCATTCACATTTTCCTTCTTGCTTCTTCTAATTCCCTCTGGTTAAACCTGCCCTGTCCCTGCCTCCCCCAGTGCTGCCAACCTCAGGAGTTTAAAAAAATCATGAGACTGACCGAATGATGATTTTTTTAAGGTTATACAATGGTTTTTCCATCAATCTGCACCCCCTACCCATCCCCTCCACCACCCCCGTGTGTGTGGGACCATGACAGTGCAACCAGTTGTCCTGAAGTGACTTGGGCCCCTGGGGCAGGAGCTCTGGCTGGGAGACCCCATGAGATCCAATCCCACAGATCTGCACAAACCGCTCCCTGCTGCTGCTTCTCCCCAGCCCCCCAACCCCTGATTGATTCATGCTGGGTCCCTGCCCAGCCCCCACCTCTGCCTGTCCCCAGCCCGCGCTGTTTTCCCCCTCCCAGCCCCCACCTCTGCCCCCAGCCCCACCCTGCAGCCCCAGGGGTTCCTCCCCCTCCCCCTCCTGTCTCCTGGGGCTGCAGGGAGGGAGGGGAGGAGCTTCCAGGGGTCATAGAGATGAGGGGCCAGGGGCTGGGTCGATGGGAGTCCTCCAAGGTCATAGAGACTGGGGTCCGTGAGGCTAGAGAGGCTGATTTCCGGTTCCCCCCTCTGCTGTGGGTCTCAGGGACACAGTCGGAGCCGGGATTCCCCGCCACACCCAGAGCCAGGGGCGGATTCTCTCCCCAGGGACGGAGCCCGGCGGGAAAGTGAAGATCGGGGCCTCGTCACCAGCATCGATAAATGTCACCTGCCCCCGGTCACAGTCCAGACAAACCCGGATCCTGCTGGGGGCCCGGCTCAGGGGCAGGGGGGTCACAGGGGAGGTGAGAGCCCGGAACTGATCCCCCACCCACTCCACAGCCCAGATCCCCCCCTCAGGGCTACAGGCTGATCCCTCCCTTCCTCCCCACAGACTCTCTGGCCACCCCCACAGCCCAGTATCCCCCACCCCCCACCTCCACCTCCCAGCAATGTCTCCCCGCGGTGAATCCCCCACAGCCCAGCACACAGCGCTCAGTGTCAAATCTCTCAGGGTTGTTGGGCAGTCGCTGCCGCGTGTCTCCCCATCTCACACTTTTCCCACCCTCAGACAGGACGAGGAGGGGATGAGCCGTGTCTGGATCCAGAGTCACATTCGCTGGGGAGAGAGAATCAGAGCGTTAGGGGCAGAGCTCGGCCCTGGGGGAGGCTGGGGCCATTTCTCACACTCCCCAGCAGCCCTGTTCTGGCTGGGACAGGCCTGGATCCCAGGGAGCTGCCTCTGTCCTGGGCACCTGAGACTGAGCAGGGATGTCACTGCACTTCCTCAGTCTCTGTAAGGAGACCCACTTCATTAATTTCCCATTTGCTTGCATAAGCATCAGCTCCCAGCTACCCCTGTTGATTCTGCTCCATTCCCAGCAGGAGAGACACACCAAGAAAGGTTTTAGTGGGGAGGAGCAGGAGAGGAAGCAGGTCCAGTTTTGAAGCCCAGAGGAAATCTCCCTCCTCTAATGCAGTCTCCACTCCCAGGGCTGGGAACAGAGAGGAAGATGCAGCATTGGGGAAGAGCTGATTAACACCAGAGAGTAGGAGGTGGCATTGGGTGAGGTAGCCCCATCCCCAGCCCAGAGAGAAGGGAGGAGCTGGCAGCATCAGAGGGAAAGGATCTCCCCAATCCAGGAAGCAGCTCCAATGGGAGAGCCCAGCCCTGCCCAGAGGAAAGGCAGGATGTTGGAGAAGAGCAATGGGGAGACCCCCTGCACCGGGGTAAAGCAGAGGGATGTGTCAGTCCTCAGGGCATTGAGCTCTGTTCGGGTGCTGCTCAGGGAGAGTGTTTCTGTTCATTAGCATGGGCATGAACTCAGCACTCAGGTTGGTGTCAGGATTATTTGTGTGATGTCAGCTTGGGATCTCCCCAGGTGTTCCGGCACCTTGGCAGAAGTTGGGGAGGGGGGTACTAGGTCGCACCACCTGTGGCCCTGCCCTCTCCCTGGCCCTGCCCCACTCTTCATCTTCCCGCCTAGGCCCTGCCTCTGGCCAGGCTGGGAGCCTTGGCCACTATGGAGAGCCCCTGACCCTCCACCTTCCCATGTCCCCACTCTCCGGCGTGCACCACCCAGGGCAGGTGGAGGGTCCGGGGGGAAGAGGAGCAGGGGTGGGGCCACTGAGAGGGAGAAGCACCAGGAAGAAGCTGCACTACACAGGGCGCAGTTGATCAGCCGCCCCTCCATGAAGCACAGCCAACGCTGCGATGCTCCACGCCTGCCCAAGGCTTGCAGTGTGGGGGGCCAACACGGCCCCCTGCCCCCAAACTATGCCCATGTTCAAAAGAGGGTGAGCTTGGCCCCCTGGCCCCCCATGTTCCAGTGCCCCTGGATCTCCTCACTGTGAACAGGTTATTTTTAGGGCTGTGTGCACCACAGCCACTGGTGATTTGGTTGGTAACTTTCGTTACAATCTCAGGAAGATGTTTTCACTGGAATTTTCTCCTAATGTAAAGACAATCTCCAGCTGCAAACTCACCCTGTCTGTGTGCTCCTAGGGATTCCAGTGCAGACGGCAGAGTGTCTGGCGGGGGAAAGGAGAAAAGAGACGAGATTTCAGACTTTCATATTTATAACAGCGTCCCCACTCTGAACGCATAGAACTGTGTTTTCATCATGACAGAGAAACAGATCGAGAGGCCCAGAGACACACTCAGGCATTTCATAGAAACTAACTGAAACCTTCTGTTTCCTCTCTCATTCAGCCATCTCCCAGCAATGGAACCAACGTCCTTTCAGCCTCACAACCATCCCAGGACACACAATCTGTAAGAGAGATTTACTTTTCCCCTCCTCATCCCCTCCCACCCTTCAAACTCCAGTTGGTTTGTCTCATTCACTCACGGCCTTTTGTCATAACCTAGACCCAGATCATACAAAGACTTTGGCAGAAAAGTAACTTTACCCACTTTGGTCCCTTTGGCCAGGGTCAGGCAGCATCATGTTGTGCGACGGACACTTGACAAAATTACCAGAGTGAGTGGCGGACACTGGCGGGGGGTTATGTCATTCAGTCATCATTCAACCCGTAAAATAACGCACAATTTTCCACACTGAAAAAACCATAACCTAGCTCGTTAATAAATAATAAACAATAATAATAGTAATAAATTCAACTCAGGTGAGTGTTTTTGAATGTCCCTCACTGCCGCAGTCAATATTTTTTTTGTGGGATGGGGGCATTGAAATAAATATTTCTCCTAAAACCATATTTCAGTGCATTGTTGTCACTACTTTTTTATTTTTCTTGTTTAAATAATATGTCTGATGGGAGGATGAGTGTCTGTGTGTGTGTGTGTGTCCCACCTCTACACCGCTTACCCCATGTCTCTCCCCTGTCTGTGTCCCTTACATGGGAGATCCCCCATCATGTCACAGGATGTGGGAAGCAGAGGAGGG